GACGGTCGAATCTACAAGGAAATACAAATTTAAGTCCAGTATACATACATAACCTAACTGCAGCATGGTGAACCAGTGACAATTTACAAATCCACATACATAAGTGAAATCCTGTCTGATTTACAACTACATATACATTAAAAGGATGACTGAGACTACAATTTATTCAGTTCACACCGTATTTAGCATTGAAACTTACGATACATCCAAGAATTTTGACCGGTGGTTACAACGTCTTCAGAGTGCATTCAATGTTTTTGCAGTACCAAAAGACAAGAAAGCCGCATACCTTCTACATTACATGGGTCCAGATGCATATGATATTCTTTGTGACAAGATTTCACCGGAAAAACCAGATGAAAAATCATATAATGAACTGGTAAATACAATGAAACTACATTACAACCCCGAACCGTTGGAAATAGTGGAAAATTTCACATTTTCACAAAGAAAACAACATGAAGGGGAAAGTGGCAATGAATACATTACAGCTTTACGAAGATTAGCCACAACTTGCAAATTTGGGGATTATTTAAACAAAGCCCTGAGAAACCAATTCGTATTTGGTCTTCGAAACCAAAATATTCAAAGCAGACTCCTAGAATACACGGACCTTACGATAGAGAGAGCATTAGAAGTTGCCGTCAGCATGGAGACATCAAACCGAGATGCAGCTCGATTACAGAAATCAAATACAAGTGCAAATATAAATAAAGTTTCTAGTGTCAAGAATAAACAAGGACACATACAACCTACAAATGCGAAAAGAAATGATATTCATCATAACCAAGCTAAAAATATATTTTGTTTTAGATGCGGATCTTCACAACATATTGCAAACAAATGTAATAAAACACATTTAGTCTGTAGCAAATGTAAACGAGGAGGTCATCTGAGCAAAGTATGCATGAAAAGTAAAAGTTCAAATCAGGTAGATCAAGTGGAAGAAATTTTCAACATTCATTCAGATCATTCATACTATAGGGAAAAGTTTACAATTTCAGTTGAAGTCAACAAGGTAAGCCTATCTTTTGAAATAGATTCAGGTGCAGCTGTTACATTATTAAATTTGAATGATTTTAAAACATATTTTCCTAATTTAAAATTACAAAATACTAATTTAAAATTAGTAACATATTGCAAACAGGCATTAGATGTGGTGGGTGTTACAGAGGTGAATGTCAAGTACAAGGGAGATACAAAATTTATATATATGTACATAGTAAACTCAGATAGACCACCATTAATGGGTCGGGAATGGATACGCCAGTTAGATATAATCTTTAATAACATTTCAGAAGTATCTGAATTTACAAATACAAAACTTAACAATGTACTTACAAAATATTCGGTAGTTTTCCATGAAAGCATGGGCAAAATTCAAGGCTTACAAGCCACATTAAAAATTAAACCACCCACTTCACCTTTCTTTATTAAAGCAAGGAAGATACCATATGCGTTATTACCAAAAGTGGAACAAGAACTTACGAAGTTAGAAAAAGAAGGTATTTTAAAAAAAGTTAACAGTTCTGAATATGCTACACCTATAGTACCAGTTATGAAAAGTAATGGTCAAGTACGGATTTGTGGAGATTTTAAAAGTACACTTAACAAGCATTTAGTGGTAGACGAATACCCATTGCCTACAATTGAAGCTCTATTTTCTACCATGGCTGGTGGAGATAAGTTTACAAAGCTTGACTTACAACAAGCATACCTACAAATGGAAGTACGCCCAGAAGATAGGAAATACTTAACACTTAGTACACCCAGGGGATTGTATAGAAGTACAAGATTAATGTATGGTATTTCCAGTGCACCTGCAATATGGCAGAGGGAAATTGAAAACATTTTAAAAGATATCCCAGGAGTGACAGTTTTCCTAGATAACATAAAAATTACAGCACCCGATGATGAGTTACATTATCAAAGACTAGAATTGGTTCTTAGCAGACTTGCAAAATACAATATTAGAGTCAATCATGAAAAATGTCAATTTTCAGCATATCAGATTGAATACTGTGGATATAAGATTGACAAAAATGGTATACATAAAACCAAAGAAAAGATGGAAGCTACACAGAAAGCAAAAACACCTACAAACAAGACAGAAGTTAGAGCATTAGTGGGACTTATAAATTACTACGGACGGTTCTTACAAAATTTGAGCCATACTTTACATCCAATTTACAATCTTCTTAAAGATGGAGTATCTTTCAAATGGGACAGAAAATGTCAAGAAGCGTTTACAGCAGTAAAAAGAGAAATGATCTGTGATAAAATTTTAGCACATTTTGACCCAAGGTTACCTTTAATACTTGCAACTGATGCGAGCCCATATGCAGTTGGAGCAGTATTATCTCACATATATCCGGATGGATCTGAGAGACCAATTCAATTTGCTTCACAAACACTTACAAAAGTACAACAAAAATATGCTCAAATAGATAAAGAAGCATATGCCATAATTTTTGGCATTAAAAAATTTTACTATTATCTATTTGGTAGAAAGTTTACACTCTATGTGGATAATCAACATTTAATTCAAATATTCTCTCCATCTAAAAATTTACCTACACTAACTACAACTAGAATGCAAAGTTTTAATTACACAATTAAGTATAAAAATACTAAAGTCCATGCAAATGCTGATGCAATGTCAAGATTACCTCTTGATAATACTTCTGAATTTGATTATGACGTGGGAGATCAGTTTGAAATCAGTCAAATAGAAACTTTACCTGTTACTTTTAAGGAATTAAGTTTTGAAACTACAAGAGACCCCACACTACAAAATCTTTACAATGCTCTAGGAACTGGAAAACTGATTGATGCTAGGGATAGATTCAATGTCCCACAGATAGAATTTTCTTTACAAGGAAATTGTATTTTTCGGCAACAAATGGCAGTTATTCCAACTAACCTACGTAAAAAAGTTTTAAATGAATTACATACTTATTAAATGGCCAACTATATGGCCTAGGAGACAAATTCGTTAAACTTCCCGTGCTCGAATTGGTCTCACTAAAGTGTTATGATCATTTCGGCCTATCCCAGCCATCGTCAGACACTTGGGCTGATACAAATTCAAACTCGGAAAGTAAAACGAATGTCTCCCAAATCTTTACTACCGTGTAGTTAGCTTATAAAGGCGCCCCCTACTTTGAAGGCCGTGAACGAAACGATATAAATAATCGTTTTCTGTATCCTTTATGCTATGCGAAATGTGTAAAGAATTAAATCTTTTAGCGAAAGCCGCTATCGCTTTATATATTAAATGGCCAACTATATGGCCTAGGAGACAAATTCGTTAAACTTCCCGTGCTCGAATTGGTATCACTAAAGTGTTATGATCATTTCGGCCTATCCCAGCCATCGTCAGACACTTGCATTTCCAATGCAGTTTGGCAACACATTTCTAGCATAATGTAAAAGGCGCGTTTTCGTAACAGGCAACTCAGTTTAGACGAATCAACTTTTCGCTGCGGTCGTTTTTTGTAATAGATATCTCTTTGTACACATGATATAATTTTGTATGATATTGTTTAGTATACATCAGTGATTAGTTTTTAAAATTGTTACAGCTCTACGATCAAAAGGTGAGTTTAGTTATTACATTAATGTAACTTAAATCAAAATAATTGTTGTGATTTCTTTTAAGGAGGCAAAAATAGTTAAATATGAAGCGTTGGGCATAATAAGCGGGACAAAATGAGCAATAATAGGGTGCCCATAATGCCCCTGTCCGTATTGCCCCTCGTTATCAAGCTCTTAGATACACTCTTAAAACAACGTTTGTTTCTATTTCTGTTAAGCAAATATGGTGCGTAATTATATAAAACAGACCAACAGACAATCTTGGGCAGAGAATGGAATGGCACAAGCAATTGATGCTGTAAATACCAAGCCAATCAAGACATATCTTGTGCCGTTAAAAATGGCATGGAATTCTTCAAACCGGTATTTACACCAGAGCAGGAATTGGAGTTGGTTGGCTATATTCAAGATATGGAAAATCGCCTTTTTGGGCTTACATCAAAAGACCTTCGAAAAGTTGCATATCAGTTAGCAGAACGAAACGAAATTTCCCATAACTTTATTCATACCACCAAAATCGCGGCAGAAGATTGGTTGTCTGCTTTCCTTAAAAAGCATGATGTTCTATTTTTGAGAAAACCAGAGGCAACTTCTGCAGCATGCGCTATGAGGTTTAACAAAACTTCAGTAAATAGGTTCTTTGAACTTCTACCTACGACTATTGAGAAATACCAGATAACGGCAGATCGATTATTTAATGTTGATGAAACTGGCATAACCTCTGTTGCCAAAAGTCTCAATAAAATTATCGCAACCAAAGGGAAAAAGCAAGTTGGGTCTTTGTCGTCCGCAGAGAGAGGGAAGATGCTTACTGTGGAAATATGTATGGGTGCAGATGGTTCATTCATGCCTTCACTTTTTATTTTTCTAAGGAAACGAATAAAGCCGGAACTGTTAGATGGCACACCACCAGGGTCTTGGGCTGAGTGTAATGATTCAGGCTGGATACAAGGTGATTTGTTTGTTAAATGGTTTAAAAAATTCGTAGGATGGTTAAGAGCTTCAAAAGAAAATATTGTGTTGTTATTGTTAGATGGACATTTTACGCACACAAAAAATTTAAAACTTATTGACTTTGCAAGACAGCATGGTGTAGTTATGTTGTGTTTTCCACCTCATTGTACCCATAAACTCCAGCCACTAGATGTAAGCTTTATGAAACCATTAAGTGTCTATTACGCTGACGAAATAAAAAATTGGTTAATGTTGAATTCAGGTCGAGTAGTTACTTACTACCAAGTGACTGAACTTTTTGGAAAGGCGTTTATTCGAGCGGGAACAATGTCAATAGCTATAAATGGTTTTAAATCTACTGGATAAATCTAAAATCTAAAAAATAAATGGATGCTGATTTTGTGGCAGCGGATACTACAAATATAGAACAGTCGCAAAATGCTGGAATTATGGAGCCATGGCAGACCACGCCACCTTCACAAAGCATAAGGCACTCTCCACAACCTGGACCGTCAAACAGATCACCTTCTTCACACTTACCTTCCCAAAACATAAGGCACTCTCCACAGCCTGAGATGTCAAACATATTGCCTTTTCACGATTTACCTTATCAAAACGATAAGCCAACTAAATTTGAGTTTACTTCTCCACAGCCAATTTTACCAAAGACTACAAAGAAACAAAGGCAGACAAGAAATCGGGGAAAGACAGCTATTTTAACAGAATCGCCCTACAAGAACGAGCTCATGGAGTCAACTCAAATTAAAGAGGCTAGAAATTCTAACGCTGAATCTAAAAAACGAAAAGTATTTAAGAATGATGGGGATAAAAAGAAAACAAAACAGAAAAGGTAAACACAAAAAAAGAAGCCAAAAGGTCTAAAACCAATGTGAAAAAACAAAAAACTGTTGAAGATGACTCGGAAAGTGACGTTTCCGATGTAGATTGTGTATAATGTGGATACTCATACTTGCAATCAACTGATTAATAGGTAAGTTGTGTAAGTAACAGTGCCAGAAATAAGCAAAACTTCTCTTAAATGCTGTGCTCATTGTGCCCTATACCCGGGGCATAATGGTTTTTTGTTAACTTTATATTTTTTATTATTTTTTTTATTGTTAAGTGAGTTGTAGGTTAAAATTGTATTTTGTAATAAAAAATAATAAATATGTAACTATATAGAACTAAAATAATTTCTATATTACCACGAACAAGATCAAAATTACCCAATGTCCTTAGGGTGCTCATTATGCTCCGGCTTCCCCTACCCGTTAATTCCGTTTTTTTTCGGCTTCCCCTACCCGTTTTTTCAATAGAAATTGGTATAATGCCACACCTCATTTGAAAGAGAATTTAATTATCTATTTAACGACATTACATTTTTAACTAAAATATTTTTTTATGGGTACAAAAACAATTTTTTTAAATTTAAATTCAACTAAATTGAACATAATGCCGCCAGACTTTTTCCTGTGGGGTTACATAAAATCAAAAGTATATGTCAATAGACCACAAAACTTACAGGTCTTGAAAGATATAATTAGGCATGGAGTGAGTGTAATTACACCAGAAGTCATCCGCAATGTACTTGATGAATGTGTCCGTACATTCGTATATTGTCAAGAAACAGATGGATGGCACTTCAAACATTTAATTTAAAATAATTATTATGCATAATTTGGCTACTTTAAAGTACATTTTTAATTAAACCATTAGTTGTAAGCTAGTTGAATTTAAATAAAAACAAATCTTTTTGTAGCTCTAAAAAATGTTTTAGTTAAAAATGTTATGTCGTTAAATAGAGAATTAAATTCTCGTTTAAATGAGGTGCCGCATTACACCGATTTCTATTTAAAAAAATTAACGATTACGTCACTACACCTACACTGGTGACATTATCTCTACTCCATGTTCGTTATAACATGGGTATTTTATCACAAAAATCGACCTGTTTCGGGATTTCCCTCAAAACTCGACGGTTCTCGAAATAATGATAATTTTCCATAATTTAGCCGTTCACTATATAAATTACATGTAAGATAAATACTTATCATGTCGGCATATTATTATGAGGTCTTTTCCTGTTTTTTTTTTCAAAGATTTATTATAAAATCACTAACAGGAGAATTTTACTGTCATGATTCCATGTAGTTGTCTGTTTAAAGTCCAGTTACATGATTTTTCTAAGGGGCATTTTAAAGGGTACTTTTTAAGTTTCAATAGATTTAATTTAATCGAGTAACCTATCTTACCATAAAGTTGTCCCAGAAACGAAACTCAGCAATATTGACAATATCATTTTAAAGGTGTCTACTTTAAAATGTATAATATATGTCTGAAATGTCAATGAGAAAAAAGAATTAATAAATGAAAATAATTTCTATCCTTGTGCGATCGGTACTCACCGGAGGGACCGCAGACGTTCGAATACAATTAGCGTCTCTTAGCAAAGACAATGACGTCGACTTTGATAAGTATCAAGGCAATTACTCTACACACACACACACACACACACACACACACACACACACACACTACACTAGGTACCTGACTGTACCATGCCAATGATCTTAGTTGTCGAGGCATTAAATCAATAATAAAAAAAAATTGTGACTTATTACCAATAAAAATAAAAATTAAATAAAGGTAAATAGTTAATTATCATATCAACTGTATTAAGTATAATAACTATAAAATAATTAAATTAAATAAGATGACAGATACAGGGATTAAATATATCACATGAATTATCAAAATTATATCAAGTAATATAATGAAACATGAGAACTCAACTAGGTCCTTTTGTGTAATTGAAACAAAATAGGGTTATAAAAGATATAAACTTAAAAGAATATATTATATATATATATATATATATATATATAAATATAAATATAAATATATTATATATATATATATATATATATATATATATTATATATATATATAATATATAAATATAAATATAAATATATTATATATATATATATATATATATATATATATATATATATATTATATATATATATATATATATATATATATATATATATATATATATATATATATTCGTTAATCTGTTTTGATTTAAGCTTACCACTACATCTAACACGGTAATTAAAAAAAGATTTTTAATCAATCTCTTGCATTTTATGAAACTTCACTTGGAAGTGCCACTCCTTGAATTGGTTGACAATATACATAAGGGAAACAGTAATCACAATATTTGAACTGGAAGCAGCTTAACGGGACGTTGGCCTCCTGTACAGTGAATTCCTGAAGACACAGATGGTTTCATGTTTAGCAGAGGAAGCTCGACTACCTTGGGATATAATGAAACATACTCAAAATTATGTCGAACTACGGAAGATATACATTGGATTCATGTTGGACGAAAGCTGTGACCCTTTTTAAAATCAACTGCGACTCACTTTAGACTACATTTAGACCATACTTTTGACTAATATAAATTTTGAATTAGAGTTTGGGTTGCACTCAGGATATGCTTTGAGCACTAATTAAATGAGAAAATACAAAGTCAAAATGGGCAAATAAAAGCAAAAATAAAAGAATAAAGAAATACTAGAAAAACACCTTACCCTATCAGGGATTTTGAGACAAAACTTAAACTACACCTACATCGTACTTCTTAGTATAAATGAATTAAAATCATCGTCATCCAATGTTGAAAGATATGATAGTGATGGAGGCTACTATTTTATTGTTTTATCAGCCATTTTTACGTCTCCGGCCGACTGCAGAACTAGTGTTTTGCACTACAATTCTGTTATCGACTGATTACGTTAATCGCGAGGTCAAGTTTAGTTTAGAAGAAAGAGGACCTTTTTCGCTTTTTCGCTATCATGCCAAAGTGTATGTGTGTGTGAGTTGTGTTTATATATGTATGACATAAGAATATATATACATATATATTCTTATATATGTTTTGTCACACATATATGTGTGACAAAAGAAAACTGTTTTCTTTTGTCACCATTGTCCTGCAAGCGGTTTTTAGGACTATGATCAACTTCAGGCCTAGTGTGTTGCACTAAAATTCTACCAGAGTTTAATAGACAGTTGTAGTCAATGCCGAGTCAGTTGAGAAAGTAGTTGCGGCTATTTCCTCAGGGGACAGACACGTATCGTTGGGTAATGAGATTAAGAAATGTCAAAAAACCAATCTCCCCCTGCCCGGTTAAGAGAAGGGGATTCGATTAGAGATGAGTACGGAAAGCGAACGGATTAGTTTTAAGAATATCAGCGTAATCAATTGGGAGCTTGTCAATTCAAGATGGCAATAAAATAAATAAAAGATAAAGTTTTTGTTTGGCTTCTGTGATTGTATGTGATCAAAAAAAGAACAGGAACTTTTAGGATCTCTTGCGTGTTTGACTGTGGGCCGTTAATGACTCTAGTGGTAAATTTTCTGTTAAGAGAGTTTATTATCTTAAAAGTGGTTGCAACGTTTAAGATGCTATGGAGGGAAAATTCCAGGGTTTGTAGTTTGCTTTACATAAGATTCTATATTCGGCTGTTAGGATTCTATGTTTCTGATGACTTTTAAGGAGACAATATAAGTTAGCCTTAAACTCTATAACGGGTCGAATATGTTTTATATTTTATCTTTGGGAGTTGAAAGTTAATCGCATGATTTAACTCTTACAGTTTTGTTGTTAAAATATAAGTGTGTAATTTTTATTAATTGTTACGGTAGCCTAATGTCAAACAGCTTTCGAGCAAATCCATCGTGCCAAACTTGAATAAAGGTTCTTGGATCTCGAGAAACGTGGCTATGGCAATGAAATTATCATATATGGCTTGGATGACTTTGGTAGTAAAGTCAATAAATGCATTTTGTTTAGATTTACCAACTTGGATTACGTATTGAAATTTTGGGATGATGTTACAAATTTCTAGAAAATCATTCATTCTCTGCTTAAGGATATACTCAAAAATTTTCCCTAGATTGTTGATTAAAAGAGAGGTCTATAGTACTCCATATCGCGATGGGGTTTGTCTGTTTTGGGCAACACTATTGTGTAAGCCACTTTTCAAGAAGTGACTGTTTTTAAGGAAAACATGCATAGTTTTTGCTAAAAGAGGAATAATACTCCTAAGAAGTTGCTTGCGAGATCGTCTACTGATATTGTCGGGTCTTAGAGAGTTATTTTTGCCTATTTAGCAATAACTCTTCGTTTTCTTATCGGTGAGGGGTACCATGATCGGATCACGGCCTGGATTGTGTAATGTAAAAGTATGTATTTTGTGGCGTATGAAAGTTGTTTTGTAGCGAGTTTTTGAATGCTTCGGCTTTTAGCCCTAGCTAGCTGACTATTTGATTAGAGACTAACAGATTAGAGTATTGAGTTTATTTTTGATTTGTTAAGACTTTGGGTTTGTTTAAACATTTGTCACCATCTCTGTTATATAGTTTTGAGTTAGTATCTTGCCACCGACAAGATATTATAACGATATTATTAAATTGCTTTCGTTTATGACCAACAAAGCTGGTGGCACCTCTGTACGCTAATTACTGCAGTAGTCAAGTTTTAGGAGACATTCATTGAACTTTCCGAGTTTGAATTTGTATCAGCCGGAGATTTTAATGAAGCAGGATAGACTGAAATGAGTCATCACTCTATTTACCCTTTTACTCGATTTAACCTTTTATACATTTTGTCTAGCCCAGACGACAGAAAACAATATTATTAAATTGTTTCCGTTCATGGCCACCAAAACAGGGGTCGCCTCTGTATGCTAACCAATGCAGTGGTCAAGTTTTAGGAGACATACGTTGGATTTTCCGAGTTTGAATTTGTATCAGTCCGAGTGTCTGATGAAGCAGGGATAA